TTTTCTGAACCTGTTTCCCGGGCGAAAACGAGGATAAGAGGATCTTTCGCTCCTGGGCTGGTGCTAGCTTCTTTAGGGTAATGCCTAGTCACTCTAGCCTGCCCTTTCACCGCATCGAGTCACACTGAAGCAAGTATAAGTTCTCAAGCACGTCGGCATTCATTTTCGGTTCATGCACTCAAGCTAAACTTAAGGTAAAGTAAACAGAGGGAAGAGTGAAGAGCTATGTGCCATGTGAAGCTAGCATTACCGAACGTAGCAGAGAGAATTAACAGTCAGCTAGTACCCTCTCGTTCTGTCGGTTATTTTTCCAACATGGCGACGATTATCTTTTACGCTTAGTCCTATTGCCCGATAGATAAATAATAGACACGCACACACAATACATGGTTCACCTTACCCCACTGCGTTTTCAGGCTAGTTCATCATCTGTGAACACAGAAAGAATTAATCTGTCAATAAGAAATATTAATGGACATTAACAAATATTTAATAGAAGGAAGGCTGAAGTAGCTAGCTAATGAACTGTATCGTATCGTAAGGTATAACTTCATGTTGCTTTTACTTAGCTTAAGTAGATAGGTACCTAGCTAGCTAACATTAAATTCACTGTGGAATGCTTGGGAATACAAAATAGATTTCTGCATTTTTGTGCCATTATGGTAACGTTAGCTAGCGAATCTCGGTGTGATAACCCTTCTAAATAAATTAGAAACCCTTAAAACTAAGTATTTACAGAAATCTTGCTGCAATGTGTGTGGATAATGCCAACTAGCGTTAGGTAACACAGCTGTTATATGCTATTCAAAGGACTTACTAAGTTAACCTAAGACAAAGCTTTTAATTAATTTTTGCTAATATTAAATCCCTATTAGAAACTGTTTACAGTAATCTAAAGTCATTTTAACTTATGAAATAACCATTATTAAACTTACTGAAAATTATAAAGCAGCCTCTCTTGAAAGGGGGACTTCCAATGAAGGTGGGGTCTTATCTGCGTTTTCGCGCCAATGACGCATCATCAGTGTTATTTTTTGTATAAGCAGTGATTAGATAACCTTTTCCAAACAGAAATCCTTATTATTGTACCAAATTGTATTAGAATAAAATACAACATTTCAGTATTTGTTTCTTAATAATTCGGTGAGGACTCATAATATTACTGCGATTGCAGACAGGCTGAATCTCAAATGGCTCCTTACTTCAACTAATGACTTCTCAAATGACTTCTTCAACTAAATAGTGCACTATATGTCCAGTAGGGAACTGTGCACACTTGCCTGAATCCCAGCTGGCTCTTTGTAAGGCATATTATGCACTGTTTGGTTTCAGGAGCCGTTATTTCAAGACCTACATAGTGCACTATGCAGGCACCAGGAAGCCATTTGAGATTTATCCATAATCGGCACGAACCTATAGTGCATGTTTGGGCCGGATGAGCACGTATGGGAATTGGCCCGAGCTCATTTTGCCGAGTCTCCAGACACCGATTGTAACGTGCACTCGGCCCGATCCTATAAATACTCAACTGGGCCGTATCAGCAGATATGGGAATCGGCCCGAGCTCCCTTTGCCAACTGCCGAATGTAACCCGCAACTGGCCCGAGCCTATGAATGCACACCTGGGCCGCGTCAATACATACGGGAATCGGCCCGAGCCCCTTTTGCAAGCTCTTCGGTTGCTGAGCGTCACCCACACTCGGCCCAATTCAAGCTGGCCGATGACGAGTCTCAGCCGATGCTGATCTGCCGAGCTCGGCCGAGGCTTCATGCTATCTGGGTCACACTGAAAAGGCGTTTCCAGTACTCCTCAAGTACACAAACGCTATAGAAAGGCTGGAAACGCCGTGCAGTATTCTCTTATGTTGAACTCATTGTAATGATTATAAACAATCATTTCTGCCATAAAATACCCTTTACATGTAAGGGAACAAAGAGTAAATCACATTTTCTTCAAATAATAAATCACTACGTGAACTTGCGTGACTACACCGGTACAATCATGAAGTCGTATTTATTGAAGTACAGATTTATTCACCCAAGTTAATGCTTCAGTGAAGGATTGTCTGATTAGAATCATTATAATGAGTTCACGTTAAGAGAATACTGATTAGCGTTTCTATCCTTTCTAAAGCGTTTGAGCGCTTTTGGAGCACTGGAATCGCCTTTTCATTGTGAAGAAACTCCTAAAATCACGACTTCATGATTGTACAGCTGTAGTCACCAAAGTTAAAATAGCCATATTTTTTCTTGAGAAAATGTGATTTACTGTCTGTTCCATTGCTTTTAAAGGATATTTTATGGCAGAAATGTCTGTTTATAATCATTATGAAGAGTTCATGGCATTTTGTTTCACAGAGTTTCTAGCCTTTCTAAAGCGTTTGAGCGATTTTGAAGGTGGTTACCTTTTCATTGCAACTTAGCGTCTATAACAAAGATTTCACTGTTGTACACGTTTCGTCATCAAATTAAAAACTTCAGTGTTCATTCTCATGAAAATGTTTTTATGGTCTGTTCCATTGCATATAAAGGGAGTTCACGAGAGGACACTGGGCCTAGGCCTCACAGCATTCATTTCACATTTTACTCTTTACAGCCTTAATGGCTTAGTAGCAGATCCTTGCATGGGCTTCAGAGCTGCATTCACATATTCATTTCAACCATCTGAACAGGTTGGAATTTTGGTTCAAAAACCTAACGACTTCAAGCTCCCACTCCTTTATTATAGTCACTGTTGATAAGGTTTGGATATTGTATAGTGGGCCATGACCTTTTGCTCAAAGCTCAGATTAAATATTTTTTTTAAGTCTAAAAGTCTGTGTCATGATTACTAGGTCAATACTAATTCCCTATTCTATTGCAATGGGATAGAGGCTTTTGGACCTGTGTTTAGGAGCTCATGTCCCATCTTACTCTTTCAAAATGAAATGGCTCACACGGGGTATTGGCTCAGAGATTTCATTGCAATTTCTTTTAATTCTTGGCCTCAGTTCAGAAGAGCAGTTATAAGACCCTAGGCTTTGGCCTCCAAATTACCATTCAAATATTATAGTTCCTATTCTAAGAGCTTGGGTCTTGGCCTCATTCTAAGGGATTTTGTGTTGGTGATACAATGTTAGGACCTGGCCTCTGAGCTCCTATTACAAATTTTATTCTTTAGAGTCCAAATAGCTGGCTCATGCTAATGGAACTTTGGAAGGGTGTTAGGTCTTTCTCTTCAATATTTTTGTCACTGTCTTATAAGCATATATAGTTAATTGTTAATGGGCTACAGACCAGAGCCTTACAACACAAATTCTAGATTTTAATCTTTCTTAACTAAACAAAAGAAGCTTGAGAACGAGACCCTGAGCATGGGCTTCAGATAAACAAACAAATTTCTTGGTACTATTATAAGGATTTTATGTCAGGGGAGGTGATGTTAGGCCTTGGCTCCTGTTCAAATTTTTAATCTTTAGACACTAAAAGTCTGGGTCATGGGTACTTGCTCTTTCCTTGGGCTTTAGGAATTTCATCGAAATTTCATGTCAGTCGTGGAGACTAATCAGGGAAGTCGTGGAGACTAATCCTGAAGTGTTGGTTTTAGTTCTTTGGCTTTTGGCTTTTGCCTCAAAATCAAGCCTCATATTTCATCATTTCAAGGCAATTTGGCAGGCTACCCTTGGACTGGGCCTGGGCCTTAGCTCTCCCAAAAAAAAAAATACTTGCTATATTCTAAGGTGTTTTATGTTCACAAGAGGACACTGGGCCTAGGCCTAAGAGCTTCCATTCCATATTTTATTCTTGACAGTCTCAATGGCTTGGTCTTTTGTAGCAGATCCTTGCCTGGGTTTCAGAGTTGCATTCACAATTTCTTTTTGACCATCTGAACAGGTTGGAATTTTGGTTCAAAGACCCAGCGAGAACAAGCTACCATTCCAATATTATAGTCACTATTGTTTAGGTTTGGTTATTATTTAGGGGACCCATGACCTTTGGCTCACAGCTCAGATTAAATATTTTTTCATGCCTAAAAATCTAGGTCATGGTAGGTCTTTTCTCCACAATACTGATTCCTAATTCTATTGTAATAGAATAGAGGCCTCTGGGCCTGCGTTTAAATGCTCATGTCCCACTTTACTCTTTCAAAATGATACTGGGTATTGGCTCAGAGATTTCATTGCAATTTCTTTTAATTCTTGGCCTCAGGTCAGAAGAGCAGTTATAAGACCCTAGGCTTTGGCCTCCAAATTACCATTCAAATATTATAGTTCCTATTCTAAGAGGTTGGGTCTTGGTCTTATTCTAAGGGATTTTGGGATGCTGGGACCTGACCTCAGAGCTCCTATTCCAGTGTTATTATTTTTGTAAATCCTTTAACCTAGAAGTTGATGAGCAAGCTCTTAAAAATGTAATGCAACATAGGTTGAGTCCTTGGTTCCCAACAGAAATGTCAGCATTGTTCAAAGCAAGATATAAAGCTTGGGCTCTAGCCTGACAGTCTGGTGATCCTGGTCATTAGATTGCTTTTAGGCAACTTAGAAACAAATGCACATGCGACAAGAAAAGCTAAATCTAAATGTTACCTATTTTTATTTCCAAAACCACATTCATGTCCAGCAAAATTCTGCAATGCAGTGAATTCCCTAGGTCTTCCTTCACGTTCTCCCTCCTGCTACAGCCGATAGGTGTTCAATATGAGATCAGAATGAGATTTGTGTAGTTTTTAATAATCATTTTGCATCAGCTGGCAACTTATTTTATGAAATTTATTGAGCTTTGTCCATTACTTATCCAGATGTCCAGGTAATGCCAAGACCTCGCTTCACTTTACAGTAGTTTTTCTCTAGTGGTGTGGTTAATGCATTACTAACAATGAATTCAGTGAAACTGGTTGGTGAGGATAAACCCGATCCCTATCTTTTAAAGTTTGCTGCTCCAGTTGTCGAATTCGGCACAACACCGGCTCTTCTCAAGCGTTCGTGCGCATGTGGAGTGCAATTAACGCCTTACAGTGTAACTTAGCGTCCACCATGTCTTGGGCAGATTGTAAGACATGGTGGACGCTACGTTACACTGCAAGGTGTTCTTCCATCTGCTTTTTCTCAACGTACAACGTAATATGTGGTCCTCCTGTAGATGACAAATCAGATATTAAAGTGATAAGAATAGATACTATACTTGATCTTAATGAAAAGGCTAAGAAGTGTCAAAAAAATCCTATAGTGACGCAAAAAATCATGTTCCCTAATCTAAAGTATGATAGTCCCTATTCTAAGGAGTTGGGTGTTGGTTAGTGACTTTCATGTAAAGTTCTCTACTTAGATTTTACTATTTCACGTTGAATAGCTGATACATGGGTAAAAAACTTTTGGCATCAGAGGTCCCAGATTTTACAAGACCCTCAGCCTGGGCCTGGGCCTAAGCCATCTATTTGCTAGATTCCAAGGTGATTTGTGTGGGAAAGAAGACACTGGGCCTAGGCCTCAGAGCTCCCCTTCCACATTTTATTCTTTACAGACTAAATGGCTGGTTCATTGGCAGCAGATCCTTGCCTGGGTTTCAGAGCTGCTTTCACAATTTGTTTTCAACCATTTGAACAGGTTAGGACTTTGGTTAAAAAAAAACCCAAGGATTTGGCCTCCAAACTCCCATTCCAAATGTACAGTCATTATTCTTAATGGTTAGATTATAGAGATATAAATAAAGGGCCCATGACCTTTGTCTCAAACCTCAGATTTTATGTTTACTAAAGCATAAAAGTCTGGACTTCTCTCCACAATTTCAATTCCCTATTCTAATTTAATTGGTTAGAGGCCTTGTATAAGAGCTCATGTCCCACCTTACTCTTGCAAGATAATATGGCTGTATTTCTTTACAGTCTAAATGGCTGGGTCATGCTACTGGAGCTTTGCCCTGGGTGTGAGGGTTTTGATCTTAATATTATTGTCCTTGTGGTAAGGTTTAATTCATTGTTAGTGGGCTCTGGAACAGAGCATTAGAACACAAATCTGAGACTTTAATCTTTCATGGTTAAACGAATGAAGCTTGAGAAAAGACCAGGGGCCTGGGCTTCAGAGACCCCAACAAAATTTCTTGCTACTATTCTAAGGTTTTTATGTTGGGGCAGTTGATGGTAGGCCTTGGCTCCTGTTCAAATTTTTAATCTTTAGAGACTAAATGTCTGGGTCATGGGTACTTGTTCTTTTCCTAGGCTTCCTAGGAAAAGGACAAGTGGCAGAAATGTCTATAATCATTACAGTGTCTTCACTTAAAGATGATACATAGTGTTTCTGGCTCTTCTATAGTGTTTGAGTGCTTGTGGAGTGCAGTAATCGCCTTTTCAGTATAACTTAGCGTCTTTAACAACAATTTCACTATTGCACAAGTTTAGTCATCCAAGTTAATGCTTTAGTGTTCTTTCTCATGAAAATGTAATTTTAGGTTAGTGCGATCACATTTACACTGTATTTTATGGCAGAAATATCTGTTCATAATCATTACAGTGTCTGTACTTAAAGACAATACTGCATAGCGTTTCTAAAGCATTTGAGCGCCTGTGGAGTGCAGTACTTCTCTGAGAATCTATAGCAGGGGTACACAACTCTGGTCCTGGAGACCTTGTGTCCAGTACAGTTTGGTTGTTTTCCTACTCAAACACACCCACAAAACCTGGCAATTAACAGATAAGTGTAATCATCTGTTTGAGCAGGTAAATCGCCAGGCTGTGCTGGACACTGGCCCTCCAGGTGTGTAGGGGGTGAGTGTCAAGTTAAAGATAGACTATTATGCTTCTGAGATAAATATATTGCAATCTATTAATTTATGTTTCAATATGAGTCATTCTGTGCCAGCATACAGCTTGTCCAGTCATGGTAATGGATAAAGGCCATTTGAGCCTGTTTTTTCAAAAAGCTCAATGTTGGTAGAATCGAGCAGAAAATCCGAACAGCCTGTGGAATTACATGCCTTTTGTAAAAGTGAAATAGGCCAAAATGGCAAATATAACATTTCAGAATTTCTCGGATGTTAGATACAATGACAAGTAAAGTATATGTGAATGGGTAACAAAATTCAAGTTTGTTTACTATGCCACCTTTAACAATTGATATCTTAAGAAAACTAATAATAGCACAGCTTTGGAATTTTGTTTGGTTACATGAATTAAATTAAAGTTTTAATCTTTTTTCAATTCATATTTAAAATCCATGACATAACTGGACAGGCCCTAGGTGTGTTGACATAGAATGGCCATATGTAATTTTAGTGGTTAAGTGGGTTTTACCTATTAGTTCACCTGCATCAAACTCTAAACCTAGTTTTAAAATAATTAGGGTTAGTTTTAAACCATCAATTTAATCCTGGTTTTAAAGTCAGGCAACTGCGGTGGCCAATTCATGTGTAAAAATGAAATCCTCATGCTCCCTGAACCACTTTTTTCCAATTTAAGCCTGCTGAATCTTGGCATTGTCTTCCTGGAATATGCCCATGCCTACAGCGAAGGAAAAAAATCAATTGATGGGATAACCTGGTCATTCAGTTCATTCAGGTAGTCGGCAGCTTCGTTTTATCACTACACTGCTGAGCCTAGACCTGACCAATTGAAGCAAACCCAGATCATAACACTGCCTCCAGAGGGTTGTATGGTGGGCACTACACTGGATGGACGCTTCACGTGGCCATCCAGCATAGTGCCCACTGTACCCTTCTTACTCTGATGTGGCCATCACTCTGGAATAGGGCGAATCTGGACTCATCAAACCACAAGACCTTTTTCTCCAGAGTCCAATCTTCATGCTCCGTAGCAAATTGAAGCCTTTTTTGATTGGCCTCTTAAGGCCCAAACATAGCTGTTTAATCCCAATTCTGTGAGTTCCTGTGGCATTGTATGTCTAACAATGCTCTTACTTTCACTATGAAACATAGCAGTGAGCTCTATTGTTGATTTTTAGTGATTTTACTTCACCAAGTGTTTGTGATCTCCAGTCATGGTCATTCGAAATTTTTTTTTTTTTAACCACATTTCTTGCACAGAGTTGATGGTTCACCACCATTCTTCCAGGTTTTAACAATGCATTGGACAGCTCTTAACCCAGTTCAGTGATCTCCTTAGTGTTTGCTTGATGCAGACCAATAATTTGACCCTTCTGAAACACAGTAACATCTTTTCTACGACCCTGGTATATGTCTGCCAACATGGTTTTTAAGAAATGAGCAGCTACTTAGTGCAACAATTAGGGTTAAAAGAATTGTTGCCAGCTGAATCATATTAATTACTGTAGTAATTATCCAATTACAGGACTTTTAAGTATTTCTTTATTTAAATCCAAATGGTGACTTTTTTTGGCCAGGCAGTGTATATGTTTGCAGTTACAGAAGGGGCATATGAAGGGAAATGGCTGAAAATCTTAAATATACCGAGATAAGAACAGGTCTAACATGACTAGCTGAGCAGACAGCTAATATCCTTCATATTCAGTATAGAAATTAATGTGAAGAAACTTATTGTTGGCTTATGTTTCTGTATTAAACACTGTAGTAATGTACCTGACTGGCACATGTTTATGAATTAAAAAATAATCTTATATTAGCAGTTATATTTGAAATATTTTTGTTCAAATTACCAAAGTATTTTGTGTACACTTCAAGCAGACTTCTCAGGACTAAGCTAAGCTTGTACCTGGCTCCCCCTATTGCCGAGCCTGTGCCTAAGGAGACTGTTTAAATGTCTTTAGAAGTCCTTCTTTGTGTGTGATACGTGTTTTTTATGTAATCCTGTGTTAGTTTTCACCCAGAAAAAGCAAAAATTACCAAAAACTCCTGAGAGTAACCGTGTTTGTTAATCGTTACCCTGGAGAAATAATCATGGTGGACAGATTTATTGCAGGTCATGGTTGTAATTGCGGATTAAGGTTTTAATCACAGATTTGTTAATCCTTGTTTAAAATTAAGTGGTGCACCTAGATTAACAATTCCTTGTTGGTGTAACCCACCCTACATGTGTTAAATTACAGGAAACACTGAAGAAGAGTAGCTTCTGAATTGCGAGAGTCAAGCACATCAGAGGATGAAGGAGAAAAAGCAAAAAGTCAGAACTCAGTTAACAAGGGGAATGTTTTCTTTGACTTCTTCCCTGTTTCATCTGAGTCCGATAAGGAAGCTGCAAATTTAGATTGTCCATGTAACCTTGAGCATGACCTTTCCAAATGGGCAACAAAGCATCATGTTACAAGGAGCTGTTTTAATGACCTACTTGGCATGTTACAAAATCATGGACAAAATCCTCCGAAAGATTGTAGAACATTACTTTTTCGGACAGCGGAGGCTCAAGAATGTGGTGCATTTATTTTGAGATAGAAAAAAATCTCCAAACAGCACCTAACAAATTACCTACTGCACAATAAACAGACTGGCTTTCGATATTGATGGCATTCCATTGTTCAAACCCAGCAATTCTCAGTTAAAATTGTGTTCTTTAAATCATGCACCACCTTTTATTGTTATAATTTTTCATGACACATCTAAACCAGCTCCACTGAAGGACTACATGTCAGATTTCACCTCAGAATTGAAACATATTTTGAACGAAGGAATTCAAACAGGTGGAAAACTTTAAAATCTTAGTAAAAGATGTGTTTTTTTAATTTGATGCCCCCCGTTTTTAAAATGCTCAGCTTCTCACACTGGTTACGATTCCTGTGAGAGATGCACAATTCATGGTGTCCGGAGTAGTGGCTGGATTACTTTAGTTCCTAAAGAAAGTGCTGTTAAAAAGACAGATGAAAAGTTTGCCAGTGGAGACTACCCTGAACACCAGACTGGTATATCTCCACTTGTATGTTGTGGAGTATACTGTGTAAGTGGGTTTGCTCTTAACTACATGCATCTTGTCTGTCTGGGTGTATTGAGGCATCTGCTGGGTTATCTGCATAAAGGTCCTGAAGAGTCCAGGCTTTCATTTTTGCTGCTTTCAAATTTGTCTTAAGAGCTTGTTAAGCTCTCAGAAAAGTTGCCTAAAGAATTTGCTCGACAGCCAGGGCCCCTTTTTGAGGCTGACAGATGGAAGGCAACTGAATTCAGGCAATTCCTTTGGGTTTAAGAAAAATTCTCCCCAGTGAGAGGTATGAGTCTCTTGGTCGCCATGACAAACCTTCTACAGTCCAACACTGAGATGAGGATAAAGTATAACAGTTATGCAAGAGAGCTGCTCATGTACTTTGTGATGCAAAGCACTTAACTCTACAGGAAAGAATTTGTAGTATATAATGTGCATTACTTTATCCACTGACACTGAACGATTCAAATTTTCCCTAAAGGGCATTTCAGCATTCCCTTTTTGAGAACAAATTGTAGACACTGAAGAAACTTACGAGAAATTCCCATAATCCTGTAGCTCAAATTACAAAACGAATGAGTGAAATCGAAAATGTGCATAGCAACTCCAGTGATCAGAATCAGTCGTGGTATGTTGCAGCTACCCATAGGGATGGATTTTTTCTACTGACAAGCAAAGATGTTGCCTTTGTGGAACATCTAAGAGAAGATGGAAAGTTTATGTGCACAGTCTATTCGCACCAACTCCTGGATAGCTTCTTCACATCTCCATTTGACTCTAAACGCTTTCAGATTTTCGTTATGAATAACAGAAGGAAAACAAAAGATTTTAGACAGAAGTGACTTTGAAAAAGAAAATGGTCTGCCTTCCGTATAGAAAAGGTCACTTACTGCTAGCTCTTTTATATGAACTAGAAAAGGAACTAGGCAACAAGAGGTGAATGTGTAAAAATGATTGTGTATATGTACAAATAATTGGAATAAAAGTTTCAAAGTCTATGTACAAACTGACAAAACAACAAGCTATACTGTTTGTTTTAAGTATGTGGTGCAGGGCTGTGTGGACAGAGTGGAGCAAGGAAGAGGAGGGCACTATTCCAAATTCCTGGATCCAGGGAAATACAGTGAGATTGCCTCCAGGAATAAACTCCTCAAAAGCTTTAAAGAGAGCTGGTTTAAGGAGAGCCTACTTTAGGTAAAGGTTATCCTCACTAGGATTGTTTAATTTGTGCTTGAGTGCTACATTTTGTACTTTATGACAGGAGTCCATCTAGAAGGTGGTTCACTGGCAGACCCAGTCAATCTAGGTACAGTCATGATTGTGTTTACTCCTGTGTGCGTGTGACTGAGTGAACACTGACTACATTTTGTCCTTACCTTTGTGAAAGGAGTCCATCCAGAAACCAGCGGTCACCCCTTGGAGAGGTCAGTGATGATTTTGTGCTTACTTCTTCTGTGTGTGTGTGTGTGTGTGTGTGGGTGTGTGCGAACAATGACTATGGTTTGTCCTTACTTTTTATAACAGAAGTCCTTCCAGAAACCAGCAATCTCCCCTCAGAGGGGTTAGTAGCAGACCTCGCCAGACTAGGTACAGTCATGATTATGTGCTTATTTTTTTCTGTGACTGTGTGTGTGTGCAAACTATGTTTTATTATAATAGCTGTAAATAAAATGAAACATTTGATACTAATAAATGTCTCCATACTACGCATATATCTAAACCAGAGTTTGGCTTTTGTCAGCATGTACTGGAGTTTTTGCTAGACAAATAGGTAAATTTCCAGTCATTGTAGGCAAGGCTGTGTGTAGGCATGAGGGCAAAGATATCTGGACTTTGGTAGTTGCGGAAGTTTTTCCCACATATCTAAAGTCATGAGATTGTGGAAACAGCAATGTCATGATCATGTGACAGCCTAATGTCCAGGAAAGCTTCCATCCCAAGACTACCCAGTAACCTGTGATGCAATTGCTTCTCAGCTGACCTCAGAACAGCTGTGGTTTGCACACAGACATATGGTCCACTATGTTTGGCTCTGCACGAGAAGCAAACCACTACGGTATATCATAGTCTTTGATGCTAATTGGCTGCCTGACTGGTTTTGACAAGAACATAAGATACATATACATATGTGCATATTTTTGAGGGCAATTTACAGATTTACAGGTTAAGCTTGTAAAATGCAAATTCCATATATAGTTTACACTACTTGTAACATTACTTGCAGTAGCAGTTCAGAGAGAACATATGCTCTTTGCTTTAGGCTACAAGTTGGCTATTTTATAGGTTATATTCGTGATGAAATGAGTGTGCTTTTTTGTAGGCATAGGTATGAGGGCAGTGAGGACCCAGAAGCGGCAGAGAAAAAAAGAGTACAAGCATACATGGAAAGGATGGGGGTAAATACAAACCACTTAACTTTTTATGCCTATACTTTCACAGTCACTGGGGTGGCACCTTAATGGAACGTAATTGTATAACCCCAATTCCAAAAAAGGTGGGATGCTGTGTAAAATGTAAATAAATGTAAATAAAAACAATGCAATGATTTGCAAATCTCATAGACCCATATTTTATTCACAATAGAACACAGGACACATATCAGATGTCAAAATTTTACTATTTCATTAAAAATATTAACTCCTTTAGAACTTGATGGCAGCAATGCATCTCAAAAAAGTTGGGGCAGGGGCAACAAAAGGCTGGAAAAGTAAGTGGTACTAATAAAAAAAACAACTAGAGGAGCAATTTGCCAATAATTCACATGATGGGGTATAAAAAAGGGGCATTTTAGCGAGAGTCTCTCAGAAGCAAAGATGGGCAGGGGTTTACTAATCAGCAAAAAACTACGTCTGAAAATTGTGGAACAATTTCAGAAAATGTGATGGTATGGGGTTGCATTAGTGCCTATGACATGGGCAGCTTAAACATCTAGAAAGGCACTATCAATGCTGAACAGTATATAGAGGTTTAAGAACAACATATGTCAACACGTCTCTTTTGTGGAAGGCCTTGCATATTTCAGCAAGATGATGCTGATCCACATGCTGCATCCATCACAGCATGGCTTTGCAGAAGAAAAGTCTGGGTGCTGAACTGGCCTGCCTGCAGTCCAGACCTTTTACCAATAGAAAACCTTTGACATCATGAAAAGGAAAATCCAGCAAAGAAGAACCATGACTGTTGAGCAGCTAGAATCCTGCATCAGACAAGAATGGGGGACAAAAGGTTGGGAAAATTATAGATTATAATTATAAAATTATAAATTCCTCTCCCAAAACTCCAGCAATTGGTCTCCTCACTTCCCAGACGTTTACAGACTGTCGTTAAAAGAAAATGGGAAGCCACACAATGGTAGACATGCCTTTTTAATATTTCCTTCTATGATTGAAATAAAGAAATAAACAAAAGATTGAAATAAAGAAAAGACAATGGTTTCGAATTACACATCTCATTAACATCTAAAACATTGCAATTAAATGTATGTTCCAAAATCGCACAGGAAATGGCCAGGTTGGCCACATGATCAGTAACTGTAATATCGTCTCTGGCCAGCAGAGGGAGCATCAGCATTAAATGTTGACTTCTTGACTTATGACTTCAAACATACTTATGGCCATAGACTTTGCAATATCTAGCTGGAGGCAAAGGAATTTTCAAAATTGTATGCATTCCACTGAGCTAGGCAATTTTGCAAATACAAGTCTTTTAAAAAACTCAATTGTTTTTCTGTAAATCATCAGAGGTTGAAAACCTCATGTTTTTGCATTGTCTCAAACTTGGTCTCAAAACAACCGTGGTAGTCTCAAGACCAATAGTTATTTAAGAAATCTTGCCTTTTGAGCACAATGTTACTGCAATTTATGGATCAATCAGTTTGGTCTGGCCTATTCTGAAACAGGAGACCACAAATCTGTCATGCTCTGATTGTGACCAAAATCGATATGTACATTGATAATAATTAGCTGAGGAAACGTATATGACATTTGGCTAAATTCTTCTTAAGTTGGCTCTTACAATGTTCAATTTACTGCCAAAAATCTAAAATGTAATTATTCCTGTCCAATTTTGCAAATACTTACAGTATATGCACAGTTGAAAAAAATGGAAAATAGACATTTTCTTACTAATTCTTAAGTTTAAATCATTTTTTTCTTAAAACAATCTTAATTATTAAAAACATCATCACTGCACGTCAGCACAGTGTGGCTGCAACATTTGAATAATTTGTTATGACCTGTCTTATTCTGCTATAAAAGGCTAAAAATACATCAATACTTGTCTGATTATAATCAAATTTGACACAAATATACAAAATGACAAACTGAGGGTGTATTATGATTTAATTTTCAATTATAGTCACAATAATTGCAGGGTGAGAACTAGGTTCTTGGTTCCTTATCGCTCCGTACCAATAAATTCTATGACCAGAGACATTTATGTTTGTTTATGTTGCTACTTTGTCGTAAATTGGTGTGTGGTTCCTTGTTGCTTCCTTCCAGCAAGTTGTTTCAAAAATTGCAGCTGTGCCACAGATGTCTTGTGGCTCACCATGAGAATGTCTGCCTTTGAACTCTAAGGTCGGGTCATAGACGTTAAACAGAATTGCGTAGATTGTAGCAAGCATATCACCTAGTGGTATTAATCATAAGAAAAAGATCTTTCTTTTGCTTTCTTTCTTTTCATCTGCTGCCTTCTACGACCAGAGGCCACCACATAACCCATTGGTGTCTTCTTGGTGCTTGGACCACGCAGATTGCTACTTGCGGCTATACTTTAAGTTTACATTTCTTTTTAAACTGCATTATTCTGAAAACCTCTGTCCTATAATATGCCTGCCAAAAAATTGTTTTAGAAGCTCATGATGGGTACATCATGAGTACAAGCAGCACCATGGGTACAAGCAGCTTAAAGTTACTAAAATCACGTGAAAACAAAGTGAAGACACTGAGACAGCCAATCCTTGAACTGAACTGTATAAGGAGGAAAATAGCATTTCTCCGTTATGTCTATGCGCTTTGGACATCATAACTCAAATTGGAAATGTGATTGTTTGGTTCTGCTGCACTTATTATAAGTGTAAAATAACAAACTTCAAAATACCTGGTCAAGATCATTTTTGTTGTAGCTCAAGAGAGTAATGCCCAAACCACACTATAAGATAATTGGTCGGATTTTGTGGCTAATTCGCATCTCCGGAGAATTGCAAAGGGTGTCTTATTTCAATTATTATTATATTTTAAATCTTTTAATATTTACAACTCAACACCCAGCAGCATCAGGGGGGTCCAGCTCTTTCATATGAAAGTGTTGTCTGTTAACCAATGAAAGCGGAGCTGAAGAGAGCCCAGATGAATAGAATGATTAAAAAATATTCAATACACATTGTAAAAAACAAATATACTGTCTTTCATTTGCTGTTGCCTACCATGTTTGTCTCTGCAAGATCTCAGGTTCTGAGAGACATGACTGTTGATCAGGGTACTGATTTGTGAGCAAAATCTCAAAATGTGTGGTGTTCTGTTCTGCGTAAACCTGTGTAAAAAAGTATAGGGTCTTTTATGACTGAATAATGACTAAAAACAAAAAAAACAGTGGAATCTGTCATTATGTCTGGGGTGTCTCATGCTTTCAGCATTAGCTATGATTTTAAAAATCCTGTGGTGTGAGCCAAAAACGCTCACCTAAGAAGACTCAAATAGACTTGCTCAACAATCCAAACCATTTCAAAAAGGAGCATTTAACATGGTGGAGACGCATTCCCAAATCAGACCAAATGTTAAATATTTTAACTTGTAAATTATTATACCCAGTGTGTGCAATGCCCCCTGAAATTCAGGGAGTCCCAGGTTTTCAGATTTATGAGTATGCTGTGGTGTACAGGGTATACGTTTTTCAGAGGCTTCCTGGGCATAATTACACTTGCTAGGCTATGAAGGATCAACTGAGTTAACCAAACTGCCACAGCATCAGCCTGAGGCAGACCAGTGCTGCATCTTTAAATGGTTAACACCACCACAGACAGAAGCTTGCAGACAGTAGAAGCAAACTAAACAATGACCTCACCCCCTCAATCTGTATTTTAGTGTCTATTTTTCCCTCATCTTCAGCATAATGTCATAAATATTGTCAGGGATCCCACAGAATTTTGAATTTGAGACATTAATAGGGTACAGGGAGTTAATTAGAATACCAGACCACCCCCCATATTTCTCACCCTGATTAAAGCACTGTCCACACAGTCCAAACCTAGGATTGGATAATGTGATTTTACAAAATATATATTCTGAGGTAAGATTTTGACAACATTCATCATGATATAAGTTATGTAGTAAAATACGAATGTATGTAAGACTTTTGCAGACCATGAAGCATACTCGCACTATATTGCTGTGGTTGAAAAATACATTGTGTCTACCAAAATTCAGTTGAGGGGAAACACCTTCATATCATTTTAGCCTAACTTCATCACCTCTTCTGATATAATTAGGATCCATTTACCTGTCATTATTTTAAAACTGTTAACTTCTTATTACTTAATTGTAATAATGAGGCTAGGAAGTACCTTTTGTTCATGAATGATATTAAGTTCAGGAATGTTAACAAGAACATCTGATAAATACTGAGTTGAAACAAGAGCTCCCAAAAATAGAATAATGCTGTGTCATAAATACCATTACTGTACATCCATAGGGATGTTTCAGGGAGACAGCTAGATTTACAGATACACACATATGCACACATGCTCGCACACACACACAGAGCAGATTTTAATGTGCATTTGTTATTTGTTACAAACAAAATTAGTTCATAAAGCACCCTTTATGTTTATAATTACCTATCATCATAAATCATAAATCACTTTAAAATGTACCCAACATCCTGTACAAAGAAATGGCACGCAGTGTTATCACACTTTTTTCTACTTTTCCTTCTTTTAAGCCTTCTTTTTTCTTCTCTTTTTTAAACAATTGCATAGAAGATTAAAAACCTGTTTTTTCAATAATAAAACAATTCTATAGTTATAAGAAACTACTGAATTCTATCATCTGGAACCATGATCCTTCAGAAAAATAGATTTTATTGATTTCACATTGTAAACATATCCTGTCCAGCTGTTTTCATTACAAAAGCATGCACTGAGAAGACTTTTTAAGTCTAAACCCTGCTCTGCTGTGCTGTCATTACATTGACCAAACAACTCCATGGCATATCCAATGTTATTCACCATATGGAAGAGGCTTCCCATGTTATTCCCTGAGGAAAAAGACAAAAAAGACAAAGAAAAGACCAATAAAACATTTGAAAAGACTAAAGATGGTTAAGTTTATGTGTGGTTTAACTAACTGTCACCTGCCAGCTGAACTGAGTCATGTCAATTAGCTGAAAAG